GCGTAAGCGTTGCAGGCGACGACGTAGCGCGTGATCAGCACACACCACAACACCATCACCGGCACAGTGCTGACGAGCGGCTCGCCGAACAACTCGCAGATCTTCTCAACATACAGCTCCACACTCGACTCGCGGTCAACCAGCTGCTTAGTTAGCTCAACGCAGTGCGCAAGCTGCTCCTCGCTCGCGATCAGCAACTTGCCAGAATAGATCTTCTGCAAGACAAGATCCTGCTGCATGCGCTTTTGTTCCTCGAGCTCTCGCTGCAGTCGCTGTTCCTCTTCGGCGCGGCGCTTCGCATCGCGCTGACGCTGTGCCTCGGCCTTTTTCTTGGCCTCGCGCTCTAACTCCGCGGCGTCGATCTGCAGCCGCAACTCGTCGTCGCTGAAGTCTCCAGCGAGGTCGCCGTAGGAGCCGGAACGATTGCCATCCGCGCCCGCGTAGTAGCGCGAGCCAGGACGGTAGCCGTCGCCGCGCATGCTTCCGCTCTGCGAAGGTCCGAAGCGCGCGCCCTGGTCTCGGAAACGGCCGCCGCGCGGCGGCTCCGGGTCTTCCGCAAGCAGCCCGGCTAGGTTGCGCGAGCGAGAAGAAGAAGCAGCCGGAATGAACGCTGGCGCAACGCTTGCAGCTCTGCTTTTGTCGGTCGCGAAGTAGCCGCCGAAGCCCGACTTGATCAGGGAATCCACGTCCGCCGCCGGGGTGTCGACCGCCTTCGGCGCGGCTTCCGTCTGCGAAGCACCTTCAGATGCGGGCTCCGCGTCGCGCTTCGCGTCGGCCGCATTTTCGCGATTCAGCTCCGCGATTGCGTATCCGCCCCGACGCAAAAGCTGCGGCGCGGCCTCACTCACTCCGCTCTGCGCGCGCCCGAACTGGTTTCTGCCAAACACAGAGCGGCGCCCGGAATCCGCATCGTATCGCTCGCCGTCTTCTGCGCCAGTTCTGCGATCAGGACCGCTCTCAAGAGATTGCGCGAGCGCGGAAAAGTTGCGCGAATTGCGAACAGTGGGGAGGTCTTTCTTCTCTGCTAAATCACTTCCTTTAGCAGAGCTGACTGCGTAGCACCCAAGGCCTTGAAACTGTTCTGCCGCCATTCTCCGTTTGGAAAATGCTATTGCAAAAATACTAATATTTTAAAACTCGCTACGGCAGAATCTCGTAAATATTTTCATATCAGGCTAGTCGAGCGCGGGCTGCGGGAAAATCGGCGAGTATTGCAGCATGTCTGGCAAACACAAGTAGCAAATCTGACTGCCTCGCACGAAAAACTCGTCCGCAGGCCGCTCCGCGTGGTCGACTGTCGTGACAGTCACGTCCTTTAGATACAAATTCATGCAGTCATCCACCGTAATCAGCGTGCCTCGCAGCTTAGTGTGCGTCTTCAAGTCCACGCAGACGACGAAGCCAACAGACTGAGTGAGCAACTCGAGCGGCTTTCCAATTGCCATGGCCGCGCCGAGGTTTTCCGAAAATAATAAGAAAAAACGCCAGCAGAGCGCAATTTTCCGTCTGCTCGCCAGCATTCGCAACCTTGGTCGAAGCTTTTCGCGCGCGAAACAGTGGCGATGGTATAAACGCAGAACACATGGCTTCGGAAGGTTCGACGAGCAAGCGGTACGCGACGCTCGCCTCCGTGCGTTGGGTCATCACGGGGCTCAAGTTCGACATGTTGTCGAACAGCGACATTATGCGCCTCGCCTCGGCGCAAATCTCGTCTTCGCTGCTCTACGACGATAACAAACCTGCGCCGCACGGGCCACTCGACATGCATCTCGGCGCGAGCCGCGGCGACTCTGCGACCAAACAGAAATCCAGCTCTAGCTGCGCCGCGTGCAACAAGCCGTGGGAGGAGTGCGTCGGCCACTGGGGCTTTGTCGCGTTGCCCTTCCCGGTTTTCCACCCCGGCTATTTCAAATACGTGATCATGATCCTCAAGTGCATTTGCAAACGCTGCGGCGCGCTGCTGCTCACCGACAGCTTAAAGCAACTTTACCACCGGCAGCTGAACGGCTCGAACCGCGACACCACGCGAAAAAAAGCGATCTTCAGCGACATGGTGGAGGCCTGCAAAAAGGTTGCGAACTGCGCCAGCTGCGGCGCCGTGCAGGGCACCATACGCAAGCTGAACCAGGGTCGCCCGGAAGTTTTTCTGAAGGCAGTGAACGAGGTCATGTTGCGCGACGAAGACGGCCACCAACGCAAGCAGCTAATCGACTTCAACGCAAAGCGCGTGCTCGACCTCTTTCGCAAGATCAGTTCAGCGGATCTTGGCGTGATGGGCATTTGCAACCCGGAGAACTGCATCATTTCAACGTTCCTCGTGCCGCCTTCTTCCATTCGTCCGACGGTCAACCTCGGCGAAGCCGGCAAGAACGAAGACGATCTCACTGTTGCGATTCGCGACATAGTGCAGATTACGCAGCAGATCCTCACGGCGCAGCAGAACGGCTCTTCTTTCTCGCACATTCTCGGCCAGATCGAGCTGCTGCAGGCGCACGTAGTCAAGTACGTCAACTCCGACTTTCCGCAGCTCGCCAACGTGTTCTCGAAGCTCGGCAAGCCTGGCGGCAGCATCGTGCTCGGCCGCGGCATTGCGCAGCGGCTCAAGGGCAAGGACGGCCGCTTCCGCGGCAACTTGTCCGGCAAGCGCGTCGACTTTTCGGGCCGCTCAGTTATATCGCCTGACCCGAACTGTGCTGTCACGGACCTGTGCGTTCCGCTGTTCTGCGCCACGCGACTCACCTTCCCCGAGCACGTCACGCAGTTTAATCTCGCGAAGCTGCAGCAGTGCGTGCGCAACGGACCGGGACAGTGGCCCGGCGCGCTCTCCGTTCTGAAAACGAAGACCGGAGTGCGAACCTCTTTGCGCTTTGTGAACCGCAACGCGGCCGCGCAGAACTTGCAGTTCGGCGACGTCGTCGAGCGGCATCTGTGGAACGACGACTACGTTATCTTCAACCGACAACCCTCGCTGCACAGGCAGTCGATCATGGCTCACCGCGCGAAGGTGATGCCAGAGCGCACGCTGCGCTTCAATGAGTGCGTCTGCACGCCGTACAACGCCGACTTCGACGGCGATGAGATGAACTGCCACCTCCCGCAGACGCACGAGGCGCGCGCCGAAACAAAGCACTTGATGCTCGTCTCGCGCAACATCAGCACGCCGAAGAACGGCGCGCCGCTGATCGCCTTGACGCAGGACTTCTTGAGCGGTATTTGGATGCTCACGCGCCGCGACGTGTTCTTCGTGCACACGCAGTTCATGCAGCTTGCCGTTGCCTTCAACAACGGCCGCATCGACATCGACATGCCGCGGCCTGCGATTTTGAAGCCCGCACTGCTCTGGACCGGGAAGCAGCTCTTCAGTCTGCTGCTTCGCCCGAACCGGCGCAGCAACTTGCTGGTCTCGTTCCAGACCAAAGAGAAGAACTTCGAAGGCGCAACTGGTTTGCCAGACTTCATGTGCGTGAACGACGGCTTCGTCGTCGTCGACCGCTCCGAAGTGCTCTGCGGCAGCCTAGGCAAGACCGTGCTCGGCAGCGGGAGCAAGCGAGGGCTGTTCTTCAACATTCTGCAATACAACTCGCCGCGAAAAGCGGTCGTCGTCATGAACCGCGCGGCGCGTCTCATCTCGCGCTGGTTCCAGCTGCGCGGCATGACCATTGGCATCGACGACGTCACGCCCTCGCGACCCATCCTCGAAGACAAGCGCGAAATGATTGCGCGCGGCATGCAGCAGTTGAAGGCGCTCAGCCGACAACACGAGTTGAAGCAGCTAGTGCCCGACTCTGGCTGCACCGCCGAGGAAACGCTCGAGTCGCGCAGCAAGCGCATTCTAGACGGACTGCGCGAGGAGGGCGGCAATGTCGCGATCCGCAACCTCAACTACCACAACAAACCGCTGATCATGTTCTTCTCCGGCGCCAAAGGCAGTTTGGTGAATCTCGCGCAAATGATCACCTGCGTCGGCCAGCAGACCGTCAACGGCAAGCGCATTTGGAACGGCTTTCGCGGGCGCACTCTGCCGCACTTCTCGCTCTCCGCAGCGAACACGCCGCGCGCGCGAGGTTTCGTCGTAAAGCCTTTCTACGAAGGACTCGAAGCTGACGAATTCTTTTTCCACACCATGTCTGGCCGCGAAGGACTTGTCGACACGGCTGTCAAGACTGCCGACACGGGCTACATGCAGCGCCGTCTAATGAAGGCGCTCGAAGACCTCTGCGTGCGCTACGACTACACGGTCCGCAGCAGCGAGAACCAGGTCATTCAGTTTTTGTACGGCGACGACGGCGTCAACCCGCTCTACAAGGAAAGCAAGGACTGTTTGCTCGACCTCGATCACGCGATGCGCCAGATCCAGTCTTACGTCGTGATGCATCCGCTCACCGCGCTGCACGAATTGCAGGAATGCCTGTACGTCTCTGCGCCGGCACGCGAAGCCGCAGGCGCGGACGCGCTGCGGGAGCTGCAGATTTTGCCGCCGGAGCTTCCGCCCTTGACGCTACACGCGCTGCGCGCGCTGCTCGCGTACGCCGCCGCCAACGCCGCACACCTTTCGCAGACGCTGCGCGAGCGCCTCAGCGCTGTGCAGGCGCTGTTGCGCAAGGCGGGCGTCGCGGAAGACGCGCCGCCCGATGAAAACGACCGTGCGTTTGAGCGCGTCGCGCACGACTCGCTGATCGCCGAGTCGTGGTTCGCGCTGCTCACTTTCAGGCTGCGCAACGGCGAGCTCTCGCCCTTCCAGCGCGCGCTGCCGCTGTTGCCGTACGAGATCGAGCGCTGGACGCACTTTCTGGTCCACCTGCTGATGCCCAAGCACTGCTTCTTCCAAGAGCAGCAGGCGCGCGCGCTGCAGCTCGCAGAGCACAAGCTGAGCAGCTTCCGCATCAAACTGCTTAACTGGTGCAGCGAGTTCGCCGCGGGCGCCGCGAAGGCGCGCGCCGAGCTCGGCCTGCCGCCCGCGCTGACGCCCGATCAGTACCGCGCCGCTCTGCAGCAACTGCTGCAAGCGCGTGAGCGCGCGCCGTCGGCGTCGCCCCGTGCGCTGTACGAGCTGCGACTGCGCGAGCATGAGCGCGCCGCGGACCCCGCGATCGCGCTTAGCGCGCTCTTCACCAAGCCGACCAGCTTTCAGACGCTTTTCCAGTTCGTGCAGCTGCTGTGTGTAAAATTCACCGCGGCGATTTGCGAGCCTGGCGAGGCAGTCGGCGCAACCGCTGCGCAGTCGATCGGCGAGCCGGGCACGCAAATGACGCTCAAGACGTTTCACTTCGCGGGCGTCTCGAACATGAACGTGACGCTCGGCGTGCCGCGCATTCGCGAGATTATCAACGCCACTGAACTGATTAGCAGCCCGATCATGACCATTCCGCTGCGCTACAACAGCGGCAGCTTTCGCTTCGCGCAGTTCGTAAAGGCGAAGCTGCAGCGGACCACGCTGCAGGACATCTGCGCGGGTATTCGATGCGTGATCAACAAGACGAGCCCGCACGTGCTCGTCGAGCTCGACAAGCGCCGCATAGCGAAGAACTTTCTGCTGGTGGACGCCGCGAGCGTGCAGGCCGCGCTCGTCGGCAGAAAGCTCTGCAACAAACTGAAGCTGCAGCCGCAGATGATCGAGGTCGCGGACAAGTACAACCTGCGGATCTACCCGCCGAGCAACGCGAAAAGCAACGAGCTCAGTCGGCACCTCGCGTCGATTGTCGAGTCGGTCGTCAGCGTGCCCGTCTGCGGCCTGCCCTCGATCAACCGCTGCATCATTCAAGAGAGCGGTGGCGCGGCGCCCGGCTACAACGTCGTCGTCGAAGGCACCGGGCTGCGCGACGTGATGGGCTTCGAGGGCGTCGACGCGTACCACGTCGCGTCCAACAACATCATTGAGATCAAGAAGGTGCTCGGCATCGAAGCCGCGCGCACCGCGATCATCAACGAGGTGCGCAGCTGCATGGAGGCGTACAGCATCGACATCGACGTCCGGCACATGCAGCTGCTCGCGGACGTGATGACTACGCGCGGCGACGTGCTCGGCATCAGCCGGCAGGGCATTGAAAAAATGAAGTCTTCGGTGCTGTGTCTCGCGAGTTTCGAGCAAACAAACGAGCACTTGTTCGAGGCAGCGATCCACAAAAAAACGGAGTCACTGCACGGCGTCTCGGAGTCTATCATCATGGGCAAGCCGGTGTCCATCGGCAGCGGCAGCTTTCAGGTGCTCTACGAGCCGCAGGACGCGCACGCGCAGACGCTGCGCACGCAGTTCCGCGCGGTCGGCGTGCTCAGCCGCGTGTGCGCCGCGCGCGAGCCGCCGCCGCCGCTCGCGCTGGCCGTCTAGCTGCTCGCAGCCGCGCTTTCGAGCTGTGCGAGCAGCGGCACGCGCTTGCGTTCCGCGTCCAACACGGCGCGCACCTGCTCGAGGCTCGGCACTGAGAGCACGCACTGCATCGTTTCGCGCTCGGCTTGCCTGCGCAGCTTCAGGAAGCAAAGCTGCGCGGGCTGAGGCCGCCGCTTGTAGAGCGCGCTCGCCGAGTCGATGAGCAGCGGCTTGCGCACGCGCTCGCACAGGTAGCCGCGCTTGAACTTCGCGTACTCGCTGCGCGCCAAGCTCTGCACGTCTGTCTGCGTCATAGACCGGACTTGCGTGTAGCGCAGCGCGATCTGCGGCGCGTAGTCGACGCAAACGCACGTGCGCAACGCCTGCACGAGTTCCGGCGCGGCGCTGCCGCGCGGCCAAGCGCCGGCAGCCGCTTGCTCGGGCGCGAGGCTGGCCGCGAACGCGGCAAGCGCGGCGGCTTCGCAGTTGAAGTGCGCGCTGTGCGCGCGCAACACGCGCTCGCAGTTCGCGAGCAGCGCTCGCCACTGCGCCACAAGTCCGTTCAGCCATCCTTCGCCCCGCGGCCGCGCATCCGCGGTCAGCGCGCTGTACGCGCGCAGGCAGTAGTCGAGGTCGTCGCGATCCGCGGCGTTCGGCGCGAGCTGCGCGGCGTCGCGCAGCCGCGGCTGCTCGCAGAGCAAAAGGAACTGGAAGCTCAGCCAGCCAAACGCGCGGCCGTCGCTGCGGTGCACGCAGCAGTGCAGCAAGCGCAGCAGCGCAGCCGCGGCCGTCGCATCGTGGCTAAGGTCGACGACCATGCGGCCCTTCGGCGTGATGCGCAACTCGCGTCCCGGCGCGAGCAAGCCGAGCCACTGCAGCGCCGCGACGCCACTCGCGACGGCGGCCGCCGGCAGCTTGAACTGCGCGACGAATCTCGAAACGCTGCGCGCGCCCAGCGCCGCCAAAAAGAGCACCAGCGCGTCGCAGGGCACTTTTTGAATTTCCGGCTCGCTGAAGTTCGCGAACTGCGCAAACGTCTCGCGCGAACAAAGCCGGTAGCAGTGGCCCGGGCCCACGCGACCGCAGCGGCCCGCGCGCTGGATCGCGCTGGCGCGCGAGACGTTCGCGAGCGAGACGGACGCCACGCTGTCGCAGCTGGCAAACGTTTTCTGCTTCACGAGACAGCTGTCCACAACGTAGCGCACGTTTGGCACCGTGATCGAGGTCTCCGCGACATTCGTCGCCAGCACCACAAAGCGCTCGTCTGCGGCGGGAGGCGCGTACAGCGCGCGCAGCGCAACGCTGTCGACGCCGGAGTACAGCTGGAAGACGCGCAGCCGTCCGCGCCCAAAGCCTGCTCCGGCGTACGCCGCGTCGGCCTCGGGCGCGCGGCGCTGGACGGCGCGGAGCAGTCTGCCCATGTGCAAGTCCTCCGCGTCCGCGCCTCCGCCAGCGTCTGCGCCGGAAGCGCCGCGCAGCGCGGAGCTCGGCGTGCCGGACGCGGAAAGCGCGTCGGCGGACAGCGCGTCGGCGGAAAGCGCCTCCGCGTCGTCGCTGTCGGCCTCGAGCTGCAGCTCGTCGCGTTGTGGCGCGTCCTCGCTCTGCGCGGCTTCCAGCAGAGCCTGCACGGCGCCAATTTCACGCTTTCCGGGCAGAAAGACGAGCACGGAACCCGGCGGCAGTTTTGCGTGAATCTTCAGGACGAGCGCTGCGGCCGCGTCTAAAATGGACGCCGGCTCGCGGGGCTCGAAGTGCTCTGTGACGCGGTGCGTTACGCCGTTCACGCGCAGCTGCGCGCGCGCAAACCCGGCGAACAGCGCGTCGAGCTCGAAAAAGTTTTCGCCGTTCACGCAGAGCGTCGCGCTCATCAGCACAAGCCGGAGCGGAGCAACGCGCGCGTCCGCGCAGCTCGCCGCGTGCCGCGCGCGGCAGATGACGCTCAACAGAAAGAGCAGCATGTCGCAGTAGTGCGAGCGCTCGTGCACTTCGTCGAGCACCACCACGCTAAAGCGCCGCAGCAAGAAGTCTTGTTTGATGTAGTTCAGCAGCATGGCCTCCGTGACGACGCGCAGAAACTCGGCGCCGCGGGCGCGGCAAAAACCGTCGCGAATGTGGTAGGCTACGTGCTGCGCGCTGCTGCCGAGCTCTTCGGCAATGCGGCTGTAGACGGCCTTCACGGCCGCGCGCCGCGGCTGCGTCACGCACACCGCGAGCGGCGCAGCGCCGGCGCGCACAAAGCCCGCGGCCAGCACGAACTGCGGAATCTGCGTGGACTTACCTGTGCCCGTGCCGCCCACCACGACGTTCACGTAGTGCGCGCGCAAGTTCTCGATGAACTGGACTTCGCAGTCCGCGACCGGCAGCGCGGCGCGCGCGTCCGCGAGCGCCTCGCTGCCCGCGCCGCCGACCACGCAGCAGCCGTCTGCGAGCATGCGCTCGCGCGGGCGGAGCTCGGCGTCGGCGCCGTCTGCAGGCGCGAACTCGGGACGCGCTTGCAGCCACTCCAAGTGCGCCGCAGCGTCCTGACTCCGGATAGCCGCGAAGTCTGCGGCGCTCGGCCGCGACTCGCTGTCCGCGCGAGGCAGTCCCCCTGCGCGAGCCGATGCGCGAGAATAGTCCTCCGCAGCAGACTCCTCAACAGGAGACTCCTCAACAGGAGACTCCTCAACAGGAGACTCCTCACCAGGAGACTCCTCAACAGGAGACTCCTCAACAGGAGATTCTTCACCAGCAGACTCCTCAACAGGAGACTTTCCACCAGGAGACTCCTCAACAATAGATTCTTCACCAGGAGACTCTTCACCAGGAGACTTTTCACCAGGAGACTTTTCACCAGGAGAGACTGCGCCGCAAGCGGCAGCGGCAGCGGCGTCGCGAGAAGGTAGGGCCTGCAGCTCCAGCTCCGTGAGGACGTCGCGCGGAAGGTCAGCGGGCGCGAGCGCCGCGAGCGCCGCGAGCAACCCGCAGCGCTTCCGACTGCCCGGCTTGCTCTTGCGAAGGTCCACCACGAGCGTCGCGACGCGTGGACTCAGCGCGGGCGTGCAGCTAGCTTCGCGGCCGGCTGGCGCGGCCGCGAGCGCGGCGCGCTGCGCCTCGCGCAGATGCTCTAGCGCCAACCGGCGGCGCTTCAGCAGCTGCCGCGCCATACTGCGCAAATTATGAGAAGTAACTAAAAAAATCGCGGCCGCCCGCTGCGCGCGCCGGGCGCCCCGCACGGGTCAGCGGCGCGTGCAGCCCGCACTGCTGTACAAGCCAGGCTAATAATGTGCGAGCATTTTAACAATTTTATAAAACCGATCTGCGATGCGCCGCGTTTCTCCCGGAAAACCGAAAAAAACCCCGTTGCGCGCAAGCCAGGTTTTCCTGCTCGCAAGCGAGGCGGCAGCTTCTGGCAGCGGCGGCCACGCGTCCTTCGCGAGCGTGCACGAGTCGGCCACGCTACCCGAAATCCAGAACAACCCGTCGCAAACGGTTCCGATGGACCAGGTGCACGACTCGCTGAACAAGGCGCAGAAAAAACTTTCGCGCGTTCTCTCGTACGCCTTGACGCTGTTGATGGCGGCCGCGTTGTTCTTCAGCACCAAGTTGGCGTACGCCTACATTGCAAAGAAGAACTAAATAATGCTCTTCGCGTGCTGCATGTAACTTTCGATGAGGCACGAAAATCGCGCGAGAGTTAACCCGCTCATCGTCCCGCTGACTCTCTTCGTGCTACTCGCCGTGGCACTCAGTATCAGCAGCGAGTACAAGGTCGCGGGCGTCGCACTATTCGTGCTCTGGTGCCTCGTTTTTGTCAGCGACGCGCGCGTCGCCAACCTCGGGCAGTTCGGCTTCTGGACGCTGCTCGTGCTAGCGCTCGCGAGCTGCGCCGCTGAAGTCGTGCTGCTCGCGCGCGAGTCGCGCGGCGACGACGCGCAAGCGTTGCGCGCACGCTTTCCACTGAATGCCGCAGT